ATTTATCAGCATCCCATGGCTCTACCCTGTAGAGGCCAGTGGCATCCCTCTGGTTGTGATCAGCAGAAATGTCTCCACACATTGCTAAAATGTCCCTTGGGAGTCAGAGTTATCCCTGCTTGAGAACCACTGCCATATAGTATAAACTATATTTAGAGAAAATGGGTTCAGGGGGAAAGACTCAAGACTGGCACATGAGTAAAATTCCCATTGGATCTTTGAGGATATTATCTAGGTCAGAGCTGACCAAATGAAATATAATGCAAACCACATATGTAATTTAAAATTTTCTAGTAGCCACATTAAAAAGTAAAAGTAAATAAGTAAAATTAGTTTTAATAATACATTTAACCCAGTATATCCAAAATCTTATCATTTCAACATGTAATCAACATGAAATTAATGAGATATTTTACATTCTTTTTTTGTACTAAGTCATTGAAATTCATTGTGTGTTTTGACTTACAGTACATCTAGCCACATTTAAAGTGCTCAATAGCCTCATGCGGCTAATGGCTACCATATTGAATAGGGCAGAGCTAAATCATCTTGTTCTCTAGATAGGGTGCACATTACCACGTAATACTTCTCCTCACCTATTTATGCCAAGAAACTGCCCTGATTCATTTGCTTGAGCAAATTAGATGGTAAACCGTAAGTTACTATACAAATCCTCTCCCAAGGCATGTAAACTGCCTTTTTGATCCAGTATGACTTACATTCTTCAGTCTCCATTTTGAATGATAATCAGCCCTCTGCTGTCTTGAAGATGGTTGATATCTACATATTCCTTGAACATTATCATTATTTACCCTACAACCAGAGTGACTGTTCCCTCAGTGGTTCTTTGCCAAATCCTTAGTCATAGGTAAGACCAAAGAACAAAGGAAGACCCATTAAGGGTATTAACAAATGGGAGAGTTAGATTTTTAAATGGGCAATAATTCAAAAAGGAAATCCTTTTGGGAGCTCTTCTGCTTATTTTAATTCAATAGAATAATAAGGTCAAAATTTTTATCACTTAATGATTTTAGATATTTTGAGAAATTGCTTTCAGAGGGATGGGTTTGCTAAGCTTGCATTTCAAGACTGATCTAGGTAATTCTTAAGGATTAACTTTAATTTTTTTTTTTTGAAGATTTTAATTTTATGTAATCTCTACACCCAGTGTGGGGCTCAAACCTATAACCCTGAGATCAAGAGTTGCACTATCCACCAACTAACTAAGCCAGCCAAGCACCCCCTTAAGGGTTAACTTTTATAAATGTAAGAGAATAAAAGGAACAATGAACATAATAGCCAAATTGACATTCACTTTGATAAAAAGCTTTAGCATACTTTTATCCTCCCATTCCTACTCTAGCCATATAAAAATTGTATTAAAGGGGCGCCTGCGTAACTCAGTCGGTTAAGCTTCTGACTCTTGATCTCGGCTCAGATCTTGATCTCAGGGTCATGAGTTCAAGCCCCATGTTGGGCTCCACGCTGGGGCATGAAGCCTACTTTAAAAAAAATTGTATTACAAATTACAGGGAGAGCCCAGGCCAGTGCCCTGCTTCCTAAAATTCAGCCCATTTGCCTCCTCCTCTGAAGTGCATTACCTGATTTAGTCAGGGACTTTTTTTTTTTTTTTAGAGATTCTAAATTGGGGGGTGTCATGATCCCCATTGACAATTTGGTGAAGGCTGTGAACCCCTTCTCAGAATATTGTTTTTTTTTTTTTAATTTTTTTTTCAACGTTTATTTATTTTTGGGACAGAGAGAGACAGAGCATGAACGGGGGAGGGTCAGAGAGAGAGGGAGACACAGAATCGGAAACAGGCTCCAGGCTCCAAGCCATCAGCCCAGAGCCTGATGCGGGGCTCGAACTCACGGACCGCGAGATCGTGACCTGGCTGAAGTCGGACGCTTAACCGACTGCGCCACCCAGGTGCCCCAGAATATTGTTTTTAAATTAGTAAAGTAAAATATATAGGATTATAAAGGAAACCAGTTATTTTGAAATAATAGTTCTCAAAATTATTCTTAAAATATTTAATAATGGAATACATTATTAGATAAGTTCCAGTGTGGGTCTCGTGACTACCATAGTTTCAAATAGTGATGAGTATAAAGGATATTTTGATATATGTGGTAAGAAAATATGTGTGATTTCTATTATGAGTTAGGAATGTTAAATTTCAGGGTTTAGTGAGAATAAAGATACAGCTTTTTTCCTATCAGGGTTCATAGTTATCAAACCTTCTGAGCTGCTGATGGGTGGGAAATCCCTTCAGCCATCTTCAGTTCTTTTCAGATCCCAGCTTTTGATTTGGAAAAAATAAATAGCTCAGTAGCTCAAGGGGGAACATGGTAGCATAGCATGGAAGGGGGAGGGGGCGTGCAACAGAGAAGAGCAAGGGCTAGAGGACAATAAGACAAGTCAGGACTGTGGAGCACAATTCTAACAGAAGGGGAGTTGCCTTTTAAAATACTAAGTGATCCTGACCAGCACAAAACCTGATTGAGTTTTAAAATCTTTTGGGGCGCCTGGGTGGCTCAGTCGGTTAAGCGTCCGACTTCAGCCCAGGTCACGATCTCGCGGTCCGTGAGTTCGAGCCCCGCGTCCGGCTCTGGGCTGATGGCTCAGAGCCTGGAGCCTGCTTTGGATTCTGTGTCTCCCTCTCTCTCTCTGCCTGTCTGCTCATGCTCTGTCTCTCTCTCTCTCTCTCTGTCAAAAATAAACATTAAAATTTTTTTTAAAAAAAAGGACTTTGCTTGAAAATCATTCTAGATTCTAGAACATTGTGCAAAAATTTTCAGGCTACGTCTATGAAATTTCCATGAAGAACTTATTATAAACATCTTTTTGAAAGATTGTTAGAACATTACCAATGTTATGAAATTCTATACCTTTGCCTAATCCACTACTCTTCCCTAAAATGATGGTTTTTGGGGTGCCTGAGTGGCTCAGTCGGTTAAGTGTCTGCCTCTTGGCTTTGGCTCAAATCACGATCTTATAGTTAATGGGTTCGAGCCCCGCATGCGGCTCTGCGCTAACAGTGTGAAGCCTCCTTGGGATTCTCTGTCTCTGTCTCTCTCTCTCTTTCTGTCCCTCCCCTACTCATGCTCTGTCTTCCCCCTCTCTCTCTGCCCCTCTCAGTCTCTCAAAATAAATAAATAAACATTTAAAAATAAATAAGTAAAATGATGGGTTTTGTTCATTGTAGACCAGGTCCTGCTCACTTCCTTTTACCCAATAGCTGGGAAACCCAGAACCTCAACGGTGACTTATTTAACCTACAAATATCATACCCCTGGTTAAAGACTATTCTCTCCTTTCTTCACCCCAACCTGACCATTTTTTTCCTTAGGGAAAAATCTGTTAAGGACACAATTGATGTCTAGGGTTAACCAACAACAGAGAAAACTAAGTTGTTGGCTAAATTCTCCCACGCTTTATTCACTTTTTTCCTGGATCCTTCTGAAACCACTCAGGCAGTCTTTTGAAGGTTTACATTTTGGTTCTTTATACTTTTAAGTGAAAATTCACTTTTCCCTTCAGGCCTGTAGGCCCAGCCTGGAAGGATTTTACTCCAGAAGCTAGCTTTAGTTGTGATAGGGCTCAGAGAAAATTTGGGGGAAGATACTTTCAGGTAAAATAAAGGAACTTAAATCGAAGTTCAGGGTCACTTTATTAACTGGATAGGACCTGGGATGGATGAAGCTAACTCCTATCTGGTTCGCAGTCAAGAAGCGCTGTGGAAAAAGAGCTAAAAGTGTTCGGTGGGAAGTGTGTATGTATCTAACAAGGAAAGTAAAAAGAGGGGACTAACCAGTCATTATTTTTAGAAACAAAAAGACAAATAGAACCATGTTTCAGAGCCTGGCTGGTGAGGGAGCTGTGGGAAACCACAGCATCCAAGCTGTTACTGTGTTGCAGGCATGTTTTAATGAAGGAACCGGGCCAGCCAGCCTCAAAGGGAATTTTGAGGGTATCATTCTTTTGAATTACTGCTGTTCATCTGTTCTCTTCACCTCCCCCGCTCTAAAGAAGGGGTGGAAGCATAAATTATTGTCCAGTAACCCTGTCTTGCATGTCATAAAATGAGGCAGACCTAGCCTCACCTTTTCATTGTCCTTTCACCCAAACCCCTAAATAAAGAAAGTCGCTATACCATCTCCTTTCTTTCCCCTTCCCTCGTCCTGCCGACAGGCTTCTCCCCACCCCAACAAAAAAATTTTTGCTTGCATCTTTATTCTGTCATTATATAGCCAGCAGCATTGCACTGGCCCCTTTATGGCTGACGGAGCCCAGGCGGGCTGCCCGACGAGGGGAGACAGCATTTGGCCGATGGGGCTGGTGTGTGCCATTACTGCTGGCCATTGGGCCCCTGTCCTCTACAGCCCCATCCTGGCTCATTAAAACCCTGAGCCAAATAGCTGGGCAGGCGCCTGCTGCAGCACTGTGGGGGCCAGGAAGTTAAATGGTTCTCCTAATCCTGCATAATTTATCTCCCTGTTAGCCCCCTCATAAATAGTCCAATTCAGCCCCACCATGGAGAGCTTCACTCTGAATTTCCTATTTTTGTGATGACCAACGAGTGTCCAGCTTTGCCCTTCTTCTCTCTTTATTATTATTATTTAAAATTATTTTCCCCTTGTTCGCTAAGAGCCTTGCCTAAATGTTTTTTTCATTTGGAGCCTCCTGCCTGGACCCCACTTCACCAGCAATCTGTCCACTTCTCGCGTTTTGGACCTGATATTACAGAGCAGTTGGTGCCGCGGTCTTCCTCTTCTCCTCTCCTCCCAGCTTTCTAGTGCCCCTTTTTCTCCTTCCCCGTATTCTCCTTTCGTCCAGCTCCTCTCCCTTTCCATCACTTCCAGTTCTTTCTCCTTTCCATTCCCTCTCCAGTCCCCCTGTCCAGGGACCATCCTTGTGCAGGATGTTTAGTAGGACATTGTAAAAGGGCACCGAAGCGCTTATTTTTTTTCACATCTCTGTTTCTGTTTCGTTTCAGAGATTTACAAACGAGGACCACCTGGCAGTTCATAAACACAAGCATGAGATGACATTGAAATTTGGCCCAGCCCGAACTGACTCAGTCATCATTGCAGGTATTTGCTGCCCCAGAAGCCACGTGCCTTGGTATCACCAGACAGTTAAGATTAATACCAGGGACCAGATGTACTGGGAGCTATACTCCCCTTTTCCCATTAAGAGCCCTGATGTGATCTGCATTTAATCAGGAAAAAGGAACACTAAAAGCTCCCAAGTTTCTATTGTGCCCTCCATTCTGTTTTTAATACAAGATTGGGTTCTGCGGTTTTTGAGGGTAGGTGTGTTGAGGTTTAGTCGTGGCTTTTTTCAGTCTATTCCCTCCTTGCCTTCTTTTTATTAAGACTTTGGAAGATTTACAGACAAAAGACGCCTTTGACATTTCTCCATACCCACAGCCAAGGGGTGAACAAAAGAAAGCAAGAAAGCCGACCTAGCCTGACTGCTTCTCTTCCACTGGGTGTCAGTTTCCCCCAAGCAGGCTGATTGTCAGTTCGTAAATTCAACTTGCCTCATGAACCCAGACGGTGTTGAGGGCACATTTCCAAAGCTCAGACAAGACATTTAGTCAATGGGACTCTTCTAAGCCAATTTGGGTGACCTGGAACCTCTCACTGATTGTTTTAGATACTGGCTTGCTTACATATGCCATTCTCAAGGGAGTATCCCTAGGAACTACTCTCAAATCATGGGCAGTTCTGTTGTGCCATTTTCAGCTAGACAGACATACAAACCAAAATGGGCCTTTTCTTTTGATACTATGAGGGGTTCTGGTTTAACCTGGGTTAAGCAAGTTTATTTCAGTATTTAACCAATAGGGGATTTTGTTGGTGGTTATTACATAAGTTAATAACTCAGATAAGGCACAATTTCTCTATTACTAGCCAAAATGCAACCTAAAATACAGTGAAAGAAAGAGAGAACCTCCTTCTCTATACTTCTATGTGTGAACAAAGGAACTTGCCATTACATATCTCCTATTCCTTATTAATTCAGCAAATATTTATTGAATAGCTACTTTGTCCACCAGCCACTTTGCTAGGAGCTTATAGATTGTAATTCCTGGAAAAGGACATGAGTGGGGACATTGTCATTGATGATCCTTAAGAAAGCCTGGAGGAAGGGGTGCCTGGGTGGCTCAGATGGTTGATCATCAGACTCTTGATTTTGGCTCAGGTCATGATCTCACAGTTCATGGGATCGAGCCACTCCTCGGGCTCTGTGCTGACAGTGTGGGGCCTGCTTGAGATTCTTTCTCTCCCTCTCTGTCTGCCCCTCCCACATACATGCAGGCACACAGTCTCTCAAAATAAACTTTAAAAAAATTAATAAATAAAAAAAGTGCCCTAATCTTCCTATTTTTTTTTAATGCTTATTTATTTATTTTTTTAAGTGTTTATTTTTGAGAGCTACAGAGACAGAAGGTGAACCATAGAGGGCAGAGAAAGAGGGAGACACAGAATCCGAAGCAAACTACAGGGTCTGAGCTGTTAGCACAGAGCCTGACGTGGGGCTCAAACCCACAAACTGTGAGATCATGACCTGAACTGAAGTCAGGTGCTTTACCAACTGAGCCACCCAGGTGCCCCAATGTTTATTTTTGATAGAGAGAGCGAGAGTAGGGGAGGGGCAGAGAGGGAGGGAGACACAGAATCCAAAGCAAGCTCCAGGCTCTGAGCTGTCATTACAGAGCCTGAGGATGGGTGGGCTCGAATCCAAGACCTAGGAGATCATCACCTGAGTAGAAGTCAGACGCTTAACCCCCTGAGCCACCCAGGCGCCCACCCCTCCTATTTTACTTTAAGGCTGTTTATATTTGGATTTTCAGGCTTTCTTTAACCTAGCCTGATGGTACCTACCTACCCACCTTTGGTTTTTGTTTGTTTTTAAAAAATGTGATTTGCTTTGCTTTGCTTTGCTTTGATTTTTTTAAACTAATGCTAATGGCCATCTGCCATTTCTGGTTTTTTTTTTTTTATGTTTATTTATTTATTTTGAGAGAGTGAGAGCAAATGGGGGAGAGGCAGAGAGAGGAGGAGAGAGACAATCCCAAGCACACTCCATACTGTTAGCACTGAGCCCGACACAGGGCTTAAACCCACAAACGGTGACATCATGACCTGAGCTGAAATCAAGTCAGACACTCAACTGACTGAGCCACCCAGGCGCCACTTAAAGATTTTATTTTTAAGTAATCTCTACACCCAGTGTGGAGCTCAAACTCACAATCTCAAAATCAACAGTTGCACACTCCACCAACTGAGCCAACCAGGCACCCATACCTACTCAACCTTGTATATAACTTATATACCTAACTTGATTATCTTTTTTTAATTATCATCTTATTTTAAGTAGGCTCCACACCCAGCATAGGGCTTGAACTCACAACCCTGAGATTAAGAGTCATGTGCTCTACCAACTGAGCCATCCAGGCTCCCCCTGACTTGATTATCTTTACCCTGGACGTACCTTTTCCTCCTCATCTATACCTGGTGCCCTTACCCTTCCTCTCTATGCCTTCACCTGGCTGACTCCTCTTACCCTCCACATCTTCTTTCTCTTGGTGAAAACCATTCTTTAAGGGCCAGCTCAAATCCTGCTTCTTGAAACCTCTTAACTATTCTGTCATTTATTTGTCATTCTTTAATTACTACAATAATTTTATTCTCTACTGCACGTGGCACCTAGTTTTTTATATACTATGATGCTATCTATGTATATTTATTTCCTCAACTAGAAAACATCCTCTTTGTTCTCTAGGGCAAGAGCCATGTCTTTTTTTTTTTTTTTTTTTTTAATTTTTTTTTCAACGTTTTTTATTTATTTTTGGGACAGAGAGAGACAGAGCATGAACGGGGGAGGGGCAGAGAGAGAGGGAGACACAGAATCGGAAACAGGCTCCAGGCTCCGAGCCATCAGCCCAGAGCCTGACGCGGGGCTCGAACTCACGGACCGCGAGATCGTGACCTGGCTGAAGTCGGACGCTTAACCGACTGCGCCACCCAGGCGCCCCAAGAGCCATGTCTTATATTTGGGCAGAACTCCTATACTCCTTTCCCTCTCCTCCCCCAAATTTACCCAAAAGTGTATGCATGTACCATCAAGACACATAGAAAGTATTCAGTAAACACTTGTTGATTTCTTTAGAGTCGTCAGAGCAGGCAAAGGGTTTTCTTATATGTTTTCAGGCTATTTGCTTGTTTGTTCAGGAATGGGAGAAGTTTGTATGAGTCTCAGGTCAGAGGACCAAAAGGCCCTCTTCTGCCATCACTGTGCCCTTAGCTGCCTCATCCTGTTTCACTTGAGTTGTGATTTTTTTGTGTGTGCCCTTACTGAAGTACTCTTGAACATAAAAGATGATATTACCTCCACTCACCCGGGGATGGAGGGAAAGTGGCTTCATCATTGGCCAACCAAAGCTGCCAGAGAACCTTTTAAAACTATTTTGGGAGGTAGTGGTAACTTTTCCAAACACTCTGATTCAGAAGAGGTTTTGTTTAAATTGAAAAAAAAAAAAATTATGCTCTTTCCATGGAAAATCCCAGTGGACTATTTCCAATCGATCATGCTAGGAGTGATTTTAATCCCTGGTCTCACACCTTAAAACGTCATTTAATCATTGTTCTATATCTATCATTCAGTTTAGTGGTTTGGGGTATAAAATGAATCCCCGAGGTGACTAGCATGTCAAAGAAAACCATCATAATAGAACTTTAGATTAGGGAACAGGATTCAGGTGACCTAAGAGAGAAAAATCAGAAAAGCAGAATGGGGAGAGAGAAGCACAAATCTAAAATTCAGGTTGCTTGAAAAGTTCCCATGGGTTACGGATCTCGCCTTCCTCTTCCCAAGGGCAGAGGCACTGTTGAAAGATTTGTGCAGCCCCTGAGAGGATATTTTGGCTGGCAAATCTAAATCCAAATATCCTGGTTTCCGGAATTTGCTCTGGGCTCAGGTCTCTTTGAAATGAGCTCTATTGTTTGCAGTTTCCTTTCCTAGCTCATGATCTTGCTGTCTTTGTTCAGCAGCCCCTAGATTTGCCCACAATACCTTCAGAAGGTAGCAGACCCTTAGCTCAGTGACCACTGAAAGACAAGACACCGTATCTTTCTTGGTGGCTTTAGCAAGCAAACTCTACCACCTGACCCTCAGTTTCTTCTCCTTCTCATCAGATTTTAACACGCATCTGCTTATACCTCCTCACTTCAGACATAGCAGGGAGTAACTTTAAAGAGAAGATGTCGCTTAACTGTCCTTGATTTTCAGATCTGGAGGTACCACAAACTCCACCTGGGTGGGTGGTTTGGTTTTGTTTTGGGGGTGAGGGAGGTGAAACTAGCCTCTGGGAGTAAGGGGGTTAAGTGGACAGTCACACAACAAAACATTGTTCTGTCTTCCCTCTGCTGGCCTTGAGGCGGCACAGCACAGACACCCCCTCTGGTGGCCTAGCACTGGCCTTCACCTGCTCAAGCTCCATAAAACAACACAGAGACTCTCTCCAAACAGGAGAATAAAAATGTGGTCCCTATATACTCTCAAGTTTTAATTTCAGGTCAAAACTAAAATGAAGTCTCCTGTTTTGTTTTGTTTTTCATGTCTACAGATCAAACTCCTACTCCGACTAGATTCCTGAAGAATTGTGAGGAGGTGGGGCTCTTCAATGAATTAGCTAGCTCCTTTGAACATGAATTCAAGAAAGCTGCAGATGAGGATGAAAAAAAGGCAAGAGGCGGGACATTTGCTGAAAAACTGGCAGTGTTCAGATGGAGGCTGTTTTCATTGTGTCCTGGGATAATTTGCTTAACCGGTTAAAGCACAAAATAATGGGCTTCCTTCTTTAGAACCAGATAGTACCCACTGATCCTAGTCAGCCTTCCACGACTTTAGGGGGCCCAGATGATGGGTCCTCACAAGTCTGTCTTTACCAGAAATTAGTCTTCTTTCCTGTTCAATGCAGCATCAGCCCAGTAATCTATTTTTAAAAAATTATTTCTCTTTTGAATATGTTGAAGATGTTAAAAGATTATAAATTACTCAGATCCTATGAGATGACATTTTTTGGGGTCAAATCTCTTGCTCTTCTTACCTGAACTGTTTTCAGTCAGCCAATCAACAAGCATTTATTGAATTTGGACACTTCTTTGTTTCAATGTATGTAGCTCTTACCTTCAGGTAGCTTTCTAGTAATATTCAAGACAATGAACTTAAAGAAGGATGTTATGTCACGTTAGGAACCTACAAAGAAACTGAGGAAGTTGTGCTTAGAAAAGAGAAGATCTAATGTGAACCAAATTGTAGTCTTTGAATATGTGAAGAGCTTTCATGCAAAAGAGGGGTTCAACTTCTCTGTGGCCCAGAGATAGGAATAGGACCAGCAGGTGGAAGCTATCACAAAGTATGTTCAACTATATGGAGGCCGCTTAGTATAGATACTGTAGAGAGGATTAGAATGTTGGAATCCCTTCGTATTCTGAGCTCTTTCCTTTTAAGAAGAAGAGAGCAGGTAAACCAAGAGAGCTGTGCATGACTTTTTTTTCACCCAGCTTAAATTGTATTTATAAGAATCATCACTGGAGGTTTTTCCAAGTTCCATAGCTTCCTATGAGCACTTTTTCCTGCTCTCTCTCTCAAACGGAAAGAAAGGAGGGAGATCCAATGGCATATATTTGTAGTTCTGCTTTCAAATGGCTAGACTAGCCGTAGTCTTCTCATCGTGATTTTTCTTCCGAAACTCCAGTCTGTCATCTCTCAGTTGCTTCGACCTATGTGGTATAATTTTATTTATGGCTTCCCTACTTCATCCACCCCTCCATCATTTTTCCTTCCCCCAAGACAAAGAAATCAAATTGTTTTTTCCAGGATATGAGGGATTTAAGATCAAACTCATTATAGGCAAATTCAAGAAAATTAACCTCCCTTTAAAAGCTTGAAGTTTTTTCCACTTCCATTTTAACTCAGTTGACACTTCTGAAAGACCATTCGTAGCTGGTCAGGCCTTTACTTGTTGGGCATCTCCATATTTCTTTCTGCCCATATGGGGGTGGTCCTTACCGCCCCCTTGATGAGAAGAATGGACTCAGTAAAAGACTGTGTCTGGGAATGTTGAATGAGTCTAAAACTTTACTGAACCACAGCTTTTCTAGGAGATGCCTCTAAGGGATTTTAAACCTGTGGCTGTGTTTACTCAGAGGCCTCTCCTTCCCTCCACCCTCTGACTTTTCAGGGATCCCAGAATTAGTTGAATTGGGCCTGACATCTTTGCAATGTAGAAAAAAATGAGGGCAAAAATGAAAGCATCTTTGCTATTGCTCACCCCCATCAGATTGGAGAGAAAGAACCATCACCACCTTCTCTAACGTAGTAGACACCAGATTATCTTCAGTGTGCTCAACTACCAAGAAAATTTCTAGGGATTAAGGTAGCAGGGGAAGAGTCAGAAACAAGCTCCTCTTTCACCGAGAAGCCTAAGTTATGGAAAGAATAGAACAAAGGATCTACTTTGTCATGAAACTGAACTGCAGTGCCAGCCCTCCTGTCGTGGTGCAGTGTTGGGCTGTCATCTCAGATGGTTTATGGGTCCTGCAAAGCCATTTACAGCTTCACAGTTCTGTGAAGTGATTCACCATGGCCAGAAAAGTACTCTCTTTCCTTTTTGGTTTTCTCTAGTCCTGCTTCTAGGACCAAGTTCTAATTTCTTTCACTGAGCAAATGACCAGTCTTTCCTTTCTTTTATTACCCCAAAATGCTTATCTTTCTAACTTCTAGCCTCTACTACCAGATTTTGGGATGAGATCACATCACCATCACTCATGGGAAATTCCCCAGAAAAGATCTTCCCTATCATGTTTGCAGTACTTAAAAAAAAATTTTTTTTTTAATGTTTATTTATTTTTGAGAGAGACAGAGTGCAAGCAGGGGAGGGGCAGAGAGAGAGGGAGACACAGAATCCAAAGCAGGCTCCACACTCTGAGCTGTCAGCACAGAGCCCGATGTGGGGCTCGAACTCGTGAGCAGTGAGATCATGACCTAAGCTGGAGTTCGATGCTTAACCGACTGGGCCACCCAGGCGCCCCTCATGTTTGCAGTACTTTAATAGCTATTTGTTTGCTTTTGATACTTGGATAATCTAGTCCTTGTGGTTGGCAGAAAAAGTGCTCACAGTTGTCCAGTGGCCAACAGAGCTGCTTGGAAATAGGCAAACACTCGATTCAGGAAATCATTTTACTTTTCCTGAAAAATAATATAACTATGGTATTTGCATGGATTTAAGTGTCAGCTTTCCCCCCGCCTTTCAGGGTCTTTATAAGCATTATAAGTTTGTTTGTTTGTTTGTTTGTTTGTTTTTACCTTTCAGAAACTATAAGTATTCACCCATTGTGAAACAGGTATTATTTCCATTTTACAGTTAGAAAAACAGGTTCTGAGAAGTTAAAATGATCTGCCCAGAGTTGTACATAAAACCTAGATTCCATATTTTCTTTGAGTTGCAGTTCAGTTCTTTGACCAAAAGCGAAACTTAGAAGTATATTTCCTCAGAGCACCTGGCCAGCTCAGTCCGTGGGACATGCAACTCTTGATCTCAGGGTCATGAGTTCAAGTCCCATGTTGGGTGTGGAGTCTACTTAAAAATAATAATAATAATAGGGGCA